CTGTCTGCATTGGATGTGTGATGTATGTGTTAACCCTTCCAGGGATGTTCTTTTTCAATGTGTTAATATCAAATTCAAGACCAACTTACTTCTTACAGAAAGAATGCTCTTTTTTTAAGTCTTCTTAAAAATAAAAAGGAAAAGAAATTAAGCAAATAACTGGGATACCATATGTCAAGAAAGAAACTGGAAACTTTAAGGGCAAAATCTTATACCCAGAGATGAATTCTGCAAGGAACCCTGGGTTGAAACTGATCCAACTATTTCTGGATTACAATAGAAACCCCTGGCCCTCGGCCCCGCTGCCTGCTCAGCTGCATAGGACAGGGACACAAACGCAGCTGGCAGGGGCAATGCAAAGCTTTCTTCACTCCTCGGCCAGTTTTCCCCAAAACTAGGATTCTCTGCTGCAGCCTGTCCTAAGTGAGCAATCACTTCCCCCCAGAAGCAAATGTTCCTTTTTCCTGCCTCCTTCACAAACAATACCCCAGTGTGCAAGTTCCTCCAGGATGAGGGATAAATGTAACCAAGCACTGAGGCATGCTCGGGACTCCATGCATTGCAAGAAGGGCTTCTACACTGCTGTCTTTTCTACAGTAGGCCTTTCTATTTAAAAACCAGCTTTTCCTGCAGAATCCTTTATAAATGTTTTTAAGAACCACAATCCCATTGAGACAACCCCACAACAAAAAATGACTGCAACTTGCTCAACAGAAAGAACGCTTCGCGGTTTTGTGCAAGGGAGACACAAAACCAAAAAAATGAGTGTTCACTAAGATGGTGCCAGTGGAATCAAATACAGGCTAAGGGGTATCTTCTACCTTACGTGTTCAACTTGCCGGCTGAAATGGAAACAGCGAAAGGGTGAGTTGGTCCAAGGAATTGGAATCTTAACAGCAAAAAAAGAAAAGGCTCGCCTGTCCATGATGATCCCAGGGAGGACAGGCCACCCCTACTTGTTAGGAACCTGGTCTTTCTGTCGCGATCCAAAGGACCCTTGATGGCCAGCCTCTGGGGGGCCACTGATGACTTACTGGGTCCTAAGTTGGAACCAGCCTGCTAAAGTGCCCAGCCCACACCCTGGGCATCAGAATCGGGAAGCAAATTACACAAGTGCAGCTGCTTTTCTTCCTACACGCGCGCTGAGACTTCGGGGCTGGAGTCCACTCTTCAGGGCAGTCCTGCGCCCCCACGCCCCACACACACACACCCGCTCAGGACTTAATCTCTCATCTCTTCCCCATTCTCCCGCCCGTTTTCCTCCCGTGAAAATGGGGCGATTCCCCAGACCCAGGAACGCCAAGTTCAAAAAGCTGGAGTGAGGGTGGGGTCCCCCACTCCCGGATCAGCGCTCCTCGAAGGCGAGGGCAGGAAGAGGCCGCCCGCCCCGTCCCGCTTCCCTCCCTTCGAACCAGAACAATGGTTTTTAGCCCGGAAAACGAAGTTGGGAGGAAAGCCGGGCGCGCCCAGGGGGCTATGCGGGACTCGGTGGGCGACCCCCAGACCCAAAGCCGCC